ACAAGAATAAACATAAAGATAAATGAATAATCCCGATTACTTCACAGTAATATGAATTTGATAAAGCTGAATGACTCTATCAGACCAGCAGTGCTCAATGTCATACAAATGTTTCAGCATGTCCAGACTAATTTTTTGGAGTGTCTAAAATATTTAACTTTTGGAAAATTTTCTCTGTGAGAACTATCTCAGAAGAAGAGGTAAAACATGCACTATGATTTTGTTGATTCATTTTGATGTGGTTTTGCTCATTACACCTCAACTCTATGTGGAGACCTGCAAATAACGAAGAGTAAATAGCATATAAAAGCTGTGGAGGAGCTAACAGGGATAATGGGTGATCTTTCAGAAAATATAATGCATATGTTCTTAAACAGTTAATAATTAATCACCTTTTCCAAGAGTAAATTTCTGTTAAGCTCCTTGCCATGTAGTTTTGAGGCCATATTTGTGGGGAAAATATTGCAGTAGACATGTCTTCTAGATATGTCTCTTCATGGCTAAACAAGAATTAAAACTTTTCAAGTATAGTGCCTGAATGTCTTCTCAAAATAATATTACGAGGAGGTTATGCTTTTACATTGGCTTCTTCTGATACTACAGTCTTTTTCATTTACCTGCCCATCTGTGTAGCCACTACTCTTGGTTGAATGCTTTGCTATAGCAGATTGGTTACAACTTATAGCAGGAATGTTGCAGCCACAAGGCAGTGTCCCTCATGTACTCAATGAAGACTATAAAACTGATAAAAATAAAATGGCATTCATGAATTCTTGTAAAGTGATGTTATTTGGTAAAGGAAGATACCTAAAAGACTGGCCTGATACTATGTCTGCATCAATTACAAAGTCATACATTTTAGTCTTGATCAAAATAATTTGAAGGCTAGGAGACCCACTGAATATATAGTAAATCTTTAACTATTAGAAGTAGAACGTTTCTCACTCACAAGGAGGTTGAAGCCACAATCCTTGTATGTTGAGTGAAAAGTTGTCATCCTTTACCCCTCTCAGGAACTGTGATGATCAAAGTTTGTCTGTTTTTAGTTCCAGCAGCAGAAGGTTCCCCAATGATAACATCATGTTTTAACACCATTTACAATAAAACCTTTAAGAGCATACTGAAAAAGGAAATTCCCAAAAGAGATTTGTGATGGATGGAAAGAGTTTGATGTATTTTCTATTTCTAGGGATGGGAATGGAGAAGAGTTATCAATTTTTCCTGCGACTGACATGTAAGTTTGGTCCTGAAGGAGATGTAAAGAGGTGAGCCATGATATTTTAACTAGCACATGACAGCATGCATTACTCTGTCATTCTCGCGTAACCTCATGACTCTATAAGCTTAGGAGCTAGTCCAAGTGGATGACTATATAGAATAAGTATGGGCATGTGTGATCGAGAACATCAGCTGTAACACGAATGGTAATTCTAATGTTTTATTATATTCACAACATACAGAATCTGACATTGTATTTCCCTTATTACATATCCACTTGCAACACCTTAGAATTGATTTGTTGCCTTTATGAAGTACAGTGAATCGTCCTGAATTTCCTTTTAGAAAGCAGCACATAAGCAAAGATTAGATTTTCTTAAGGTTCACATACTTTGCGATATTTTCATAAATAAGACAAGAAATTAATTGTACAACCGAACAGATTGTTTCCTTCCATTAACCAGAAAATGTTACTGTTGCTTCCATTCCAGCTTACAAAGACACAAAATTGTTGCTCTCATACATGTGTATAAACACATCTATACATACATACATGTACAGTATGAGACTTTTAAATCTTTAATCTAAAATAAGAATGTATTTATCTTACCAAGTTGCAACAATTTCATAATTTTTGAAAAGGCACCATCCCCTAATATAGTGTTATTGATCAAAATCACTCAGAAGATAAGAATCAATAGGGACTCCATCACTTCCAGAAAGAGTATTTTTCCCTTGTAAAGTGCTAATAAGTTGGTAATCCAGGGTGTAACAGACTCTGAAAAAAGCATTAGAGAAGCCATGCACAGAAGAAGGAAAATAAATACTACAAAGCCCCTACTAATATAATATTAGCTAGCAAATGTCTATTTGACATTGATTCTCAGGAAATTAAGAATGCAGTATAAACTGCGATGGATTTCAGTTTAGCATTTTAGTGTACAAGGCATTGTTCAAATGATTGAGGTTGTTCTGAAACTGATAGAAAGTGCAGTGCAGAAGCAGTTAGCAGGAGCATATGGAGGGAGCAAACCAGCAGTGACAAATTACGCAGTGCATTCAGAGGAACTAAGATCTGCGTTGCAGGCTACATGTAGAAAGACAAAATCGTTCAGAAGAACTATTTTTGTTTCAATGCCACTGAACCAATCACCTTAGAGAGCTCAATGCCTTGGCATGTATATTCTTAACATATAATTTTCTATGATGCCTTTTGTAAAGACTTGCATTAATTATTTAAAATAAATATTCCTGTCATTAACCTGATCAGAAAACTTCCAGTCTGTTGAATCTGTTTAGTAGGACAGATTTTTCTGTACTGCTAGCATATCAGATTTACCCCTTTTGAACATGCCAGCTTCATAACAAGAAAGAAGAAAAACTGGATCTTACACTGTCATTTAAAGTATCATACTTTTAACCTCCTCCTTCCATCCAGAGCTCTTTACCTTTACTGACACCCTCTGGTCCCTATGTCTAAGTCAGATTTGAATTCATTCCAGCATTCCTTAAAAATTTTACTTTCCAAATCAATATTTTGTGGAGCACAGAACTGGACTGGACATTTTCTGAAACTCCCATAAATCATATTACAGATTCCCCAATAGTTTACCATGTCAGCAACTTATTCAGGGGGCTCAAGCAAATTTGTCAGTCATGACCTTCCTGTATTAAATCTGTTCTAACAGTCCTCCAAGTTATGCATTTCTTAAAGTTGCCCTTTAACAGTAGAACTTTTAATCATACTTTTTTTCTTAGCTGTTAGGATATTTTTCCCTAAGACCTGTTTTCAAAGCTGCTTTCTTTCAAATTTTCAACTATAATTCAGCCAGTCAGGTTTTTTTAATTTTCTGTTTTTATTCTTAGTACACCTACCCTCATTATAAAATGAAATTAAGATCCCTACCCCTGATACATTAACCTAGAATTCAAAGTAGGACCTTCAGCTTCATATTGACCAATAAAACTAAAATCTACATTCTTAATCTCCCAACTATCCATAGCTATCTTCACACTTTTATATCATGCTCTGCAAGTTCTGACTTTTTGCATGGGCATTTGCCTTGTAAGTATATGAAATAGAAGCGTTGTATGTTGAATAGTCCCCTTATAAAACTACCTAGCTGTTATCACCTCCAAGGATGTTTAACACTTTACTCTCCTTAATATATTTGTTGTCTTCCCAGACTTTGTTTCCTTAACCACATCTCTTAAACATTCCCATAGTTAAAAGTATATTGCCACTGAAGGTCTCTGTACATGAAACATTCCTCAGTTACTATAGTTCACATCTTAGTTTTCTGTCTTCCTTTCGGCATACCTCAGACTAGTAAACAAGAGTTTTCCCTCACAACAAGAGAGAAAAAGGAGTTTTGAAACTTTGTAGCTAAGTGCTATAATAATTAAAGTATATTTATTAAATATACTTTTAGAAATTCTAATAGATAATTTGATAGCTCTTTAAAGTAATGGCCCAATTATTGCTAATTCTTTCAATATACACTGTAATAACATTAATCATGATAAACTGATTTTGTGTTAATATTGATTGCCACAAAGTACTTCTGAAGGAGTAGTACTATAATTCAGCAAGAATTAATTACACTTTTATTAATTAGAAAATATCATTCAAATTTTAATTATCAGGAATCCCTCCTTGGCTTTTGGTTAATAGTGAGTGTGTAATTTATATGTAGTTTCAAACTTCAGGGTCTCATCAAAAGCTCACTGAAGTCTAGAAGAATGCTGTAACTCCTCAGAAAAAAAACTGGCACCAGATTCTTCATTAAAAAAAACCCAACAAAACAAAACAAAACAAAAACCCCCAAACAAGCAAAAACGAAAATATGTCGTTTTAGTAAAATAGTATTTTTTAAATTAAAAAAATAACTTTGAAAAAACTTTGTTCAATTTCTGAAATATTGCAACACATAGAAAACTTTAGTCCTCACATTACACTACCTTGTGTAACTTCTGTTGTATGAAGTTTCTGTGCTCAAGAGGAATGAAAGTAAACATCTAAAGTACAGATACAGTAACGGATGATTTTTTTTCTCATATTAAAATCTTAAAAACAGTTTCATGCTCTATGTTCCAATAACTCTAAGTTTGTCTTCTAGCCAGTTCATGGACATTCCACATAGTCTTATCAACTGTCCTCACATCAGAGCGGAAAAATCAGTGCATCTTTATGTAATTCCATCTCTTTTGCCTGTCAGCAAAGGAGAATGGTCCAGGCACCGTACTTTTCTAATTCTAGAGATAATTGTTTATCCCAAAGCCAAGTACCATTCTGAACTCCAAACAGCACAACTTTAAGTGCATCTCTATAAATTTAATATGCTGGGTTATTTCCTGATTAAACATCAAGCATTAGCATGGTAGCTCTCCCAGATATAAAAAATTAGTACATTGAAACGGGTATTTCTTATCTGGAGTATTTTTTTCTAAAAGCCTCACATCTCTCTTCACAACTAATTCACTGCAGCAGTTTGCTTCGCTAGTTAAATGATAGGAAGCATACAGCAGACCACAGTAATTTCTGCTTCAACTTTTCTTCTCAATTATGACAACAATTTCAATGTAAGATTCAAAACAAAAAAAACCCAAAACACATAAACCTGTAGTAGGAGCCCAAAACCGGGATCTCTCACCATTGCCGGCTTCGCAGCAGACTGCTCACAGAGATGCCGCGATGGATATTGCAACGAATAATCTGCACACACTCCAAAGTCTAACCAGGGAAATCAGTGCCTGGTTGGGGGAACGGCAGAGACACTTACCGCTGCTGTGGCACCGTCTCTCTCGCCCTGACTCTCAGTCTCTCTCTCCCATCCTTCTGACAGCCTCAAATATAGCAGTCCCTTATGGTGTTGAGCCTGGGGGAGCAGAGGATTGCAGAGTTGGGTTTTTTCCTGTTTTCTTTTCTGTTTTTTTTTTTTTTTTTTAAACCATCCAGAGGTAGTTCTCGAGACCCGACTGCCTCTTCTCGCCTCGCTCACTGATGGAGAGCCCCAGGTGAAGGCATCCGCTTCAGCAGCTCCCGCGAGCCCCTCCCGGCCCCGCCGTGCCCCCTCCCGGCGGGGGGACCAAGGCGCCTCCCCCGGCTGCTCCCGGGGGGGCGGCGGAGGCTCTGCCCGCCCCTACCCAGACGCGTGTGGATGTATAGATGATGTGGATGTGTGTTCATGCGAATGCCATCTCACACTGCCGCCCGCCGCTCGCCCCTACCCCTAAGAGCGCAAGCACCCCCCCGCCCCTTCCTCCTCCTCCTGCTCCTCTCCACCTTTCTCCCTGATTTTCTCCTCTTCACTTCTCTGCCCCGGAGCGTGAAGGCAAGAGGGTCAGCTGGGGAGTGCTGTCCCCTGATCTCCTGCTCCCCTAATCCAAACCATCAGTTTTTCCCATCCACCACTTTCTGACCCCATCCTCTCCTCATCCCCTTGTCCATCCTCCTTCCAGAAGACTGTTTATTAAAGATTTTTTTTTTTTGTTAATGCATTTTATTCCCCTCCAGGGGTGATGATCCTCCCTACCCCCTCGCTCTGCAGCCGGAGCCAGGAGCCGCGGCTGCTGCCCGCACCGCAGCGCGCGGTCTCCGTCTTTACACGGCGGCTGCTCTGGCTGGAGGCACACCCGGGGCAGCCAGCCCGAGGCCAGCAGCCGTAACGCCGCGGCTCCGGCAGCCCATTTGCTCCATGTTCCCTTCCCCATCATCCAGCCGCTGTTAACCGCATCCCGCTCCAGCCCGTGGCAGCGCCCCGCCTCGCCCCGGCCCCGGCGGAGCGCCCAGCGCTCCGCGCCCGCCCCCGCAGCGCCGCCCCCCGCAGCACCCGCCCGGCCGAGCCCCGGGGCAGGGCTGCCGGCGCCGCTCCTCCGCATCAGCCTTCCGCGTCTTCCTCGGCCGCTTCGCATCTATCCATACACGTAGTGGGTTCCCACTCTGCCTCTCTCTAATGGCTGCCCTCAGGTTTCAAGCTGATTCTAATCCTTTTTTTTTTTTTTCCTCCTGTGGCAATGGCAACTTTCTGCTTTAACATTTAATACTTTTCTGCCCTTCTGTGTTTTTTTTTTCCTTGCATTTTTCCCCTTTGCGTTCCACAAGTAGTTAGATCACTTTTTAACTGAGTAACTATTGTGTAGTTCCTATTCTCCAAGATTTTTCTTTGCTTCGGTGACTCCATTTCAACTGTGCATGCTTTCTGAACCTCTGTGGTGTACATACATGTGTGTCTGTGCGTGTGCATTTTTTTTGTAATAAGTTGTCTTTGTACTTATTTATTTTTCCTATCCCAGGTACTTGCTGACTAGTTTTTAGAAACAGACCTTCATTTTTTTTTAGATTAATGAAAAAGGATTCTGGATTAATTCTGGAATTTTCTGAGTGTTCTTACACAACTCCAGTCCTAAACTGGCAATACTAATAGAAGTTTTTCCTCTGTGCCTTTCACTTGTCTTTTATATTGAAGCCCCCAGCAAGATAGGATGTTAGTGATGAGAGAGAGTTTTACACACTTTTGTGGTCCTGTATACTATGTGGAAGTCTGTCAGAGGATTTACAGATAGCAGTTTAATGAATTCTGCCCACTATTTTCAGTGAGGATGAGCTGAAAAAAAACTTAAATTCCTTTTTTACATTATTCTAAGATTGTAGATTTTTGTTCCTTCATCACCATTTCCCACTGCCTTAACTAGCACAGTGGAAAAGCGAGAATGAATCCATCATTAGAGATGGACTTTATCTGTATGCACTATCCCATACAAACACAGAAGAAAATTGTGTCCACAACTGTAAACGGGTCTCCAAGCAATTTCTGTTGGGCAAGTAGTGTTGCAACTTGACATATCAAAGCTTCTCTTCATTGACTCAATTCGCAGAAAATTATCTTCTGGTCATTATTTCCAATGTTACTAGGTTACAAGACAGCACTTAATCAGAAGCCAGGAATAGTGACTGCATTAATTCTCGTCTAATGAATAACTTATGAGGTTCCATTTCTCAATATTTCCAAAGTGAACATTAAAGCCAGAAGCATTTTTGCTAATAAATGTATTTTTTTGCATACTATAGCTATTTATGACAATAGTGAGGAATTACTTGTGAAGAGGTGACTTTCATTGTTTGCTTATTTTTAAAGGTAGAGACAGAATTAAAAGAATGCAATTTTTTTTTAAGTCGTAAAGACTGGAGGTTATGGCCTTTATCTTCCTTTGTGAAGTTTATAGATCCGGGTTACTTTTAAATACTACACTGAGGCCCCTGTGTTATACCCATTGAGTTACACACTGTTTTTGCTTTTGGCTCATTTTCACCTGAGTTCTTGTCAAAGTGCACATTTCTTTTGAATGACAGCTTTTAATGTTCACTACCTTCTTTTTAACTTCAGCAATATTTCTACAAGGAGATATTTGTACCTTTTCCTTTAATATAATTAGGAAGGCGCTGGATTTATATGAGTGCCGGTTTTATCTTTCACAGATTTAAAATGGGTTAAAATTTCATATGATTGTGTGTATCCTTTGCAAGGTGAGTTCCTGCTTTACTCCACCATTGTAAGATTGTGATCTGTTTTATGGCACATATGTTCAATGTTTAATGCATAGACAATGAATTATATTCACCCCTTTGCTACAGTACTATTATTGCTATGGACTTTAAGTCAACCTAGCTGCGTTTTGCATATCTGGTCTAGTTGTCTAACTGTCTCTGAATAAATGCCTTAATCTCTCTATCTCAGTGTCCCCAGTGGACAAGCAAACAGATGCAGCACATCTGCAGTCTGAGTTGTTTCTGAGCTCCTCTGTAATTTGTTTTGTACTTCTTTCCTTTTCATTCAATCTCTCCCCTTCTTTTAAGCAGAGTATAATATATTCTTTGCCACATGCAGAGCTATCTGAGCAGTACCATTATTATTGGGATATTTCACTGCTCTTTCTTAACCAATTGCAGAATACAAGTAAAAGATAGGGAGTGAATTCTGAAGAAAATAGTTGGCTGCACAAATTTCTCCCCCTCACCTGTGTCTGCAACAGCACTGGGGGGGGGGTTAGCTTTAGAGTATGATGAAACCTTCTCTTACTCTTCCTCTCCCATTTATGAGGAGTTCCTAGAGGCACCTGGAGAACACTATTTGAAAACACTAACTTTTGAAAGGTATGCATTGGCCCTGTTTTAGTACACAGCTGTATAATTTTAGTGGCAACCACTATATTTTGTCCTCCCCTAGAACATCTGGATATACTCCTCATGGCTGTATAATTAGAGTTATAGGAAAATTTTGTAGCGGCATAAGCAGAATTATGTGTAAAAGTGACACATAATTCTTCAGGCCTTTGGCAAACAGCAGAAGATTCAGAGCCTAGTATGAAAGCTTTCAGTTACAGCAGATAATTAACAAACTGGAGATGTTAACAATGCGAAGAAGTTGCTGCATTAAAAAAAAAAAGCCTCTGGGGACTTAAGACTCCTAAATTTTCAGAAATGCAGACAGGTGACATCTGGTCCAACATAAAGACTGGGAGAAAATTAACCTATTTGAAAAAGTTTTGAAGCAGCAGAATGAAGTAGTGGAATGAATATCACAGATTTATAGCATGCCACAATGGTCTTTTAGATTCTATAAGAGAAACTTGTGAACTGAATGTGTTTTTTCTCTGAACAATGATCTAAGTAAGAGAAGATGACAAAACTGTACTGTTCGTCAAGCACCTCAAGGATGATGAGGCCATTCTGTTACTTGGTGAATACCACCAGTAAATTTCCACTGTTACCTGGTTAAAGAGAAAATGGGCTGGGTACTATGTATTTTGATATTTGCAGGTATAGGCAATATGTTGCTACCAAAACAATGGTCATCAAAGAGCTAACTAGGAGTGCTGCGGTATTCAATTATTAAAAGAAGAGGACAGACTGAGCTCTCCCTTGTCTCTACAGAAGTCACAGACAGTGGGAGAGACATAGGAAAGTGACAGATGCATCTTAACTTTATACCAAACCCATTTGTACACTGACACTCCACTGAGTGTTACTGGCTTTGTGAGGAACTGGCCTATAGGAAACCAGAGGAACAAGTTCTTAAAAATCAGTCTTCTGGCTACTGACAGAAACAAGAATGAACTGATCATCAGAGAGGGTTCCTCTTTTCTGTGCATGCTTTGTGCAAGTGCAATATAGTTTTGTAGTTTGAGAGGTAGAATAAAGATCAGAAGGGATTTGCAGATTCATATTGTCTCCTAGCTTTCCTAACCTTATGAGAGACATGTCTGGAACACCTGTTATGAGATACAATGCATTGTTTTTGATGCTATGATACAACAACTAATTAATATGCTAGGAAAAGCAAACTCAAAATTTTCCTCATTCTTTCCAGCTTGATCTTCACCATATGTACAGGAAGGATCTAGTGTCCCCTGGAGAATGATTTTACCTTCTACAAATATGGGAGCAAAATGTGCAAAGGGGTAAAGAATGGGAAAAAAAACCCATATCTGCTTACTGCTGCAGCCATCCCCTGGTATCATTAGCTGTTCTGAATAGAGAACTAGTAAGGGATTGTGGTGATTCATAATCTTTAAAGTAGAGAAAAGAAAAGGGAAATGAGAGGTTCTCTGAGGACCACAGAATATTAAAAATCAACCCATAATTATACCTAAATATTCCAGCAGCAATGAAAACTCGATAGTAACAAAGATTAAACCCACTATCTTCCTAACATACATCTCCAAAGAGCCATGAACACAAAAGGATGAAAACAGTGTCCTCCATTGAATTATAGAATGGTCAGAGTCCATGACTGCTGAATGCGAACAGTGCTGGATACTAAATTTAGTGTCCTAACTCATATTTCAATACCTAAATATAAATGACCTGATTTTTTTCAAAGATATTGAACAATTCCAGGTTCTTCTGATTTATGTTACTACTTAAGATAAAAATAAAAGACTTTTTTGTTTACGTATCTAGCAATTGTAGACAGAATTCTGCCCTTATAGACCAGAGCTTTGCAGCTCACTTTGTAAAATATTTGGATACCATTGTGTCTCCCAAAGAAGAAAGATGTTGCAAAAGAAAATATTTTTTCTCT